CACCTCTGTGAGCCCAACCGGACGGAGGAGCCACAGAAATGGCTTTTATTCAGGCTCCTTGTAAAGGCCACAAACAGCGTCAGCACGCACATGCCTTCCTGTGTGTGCCTGCCTTCGAAGTACACGGCAGGGCCAGGACGGGTCGCTGTGGGTGAGGACTGGTCTCCACACCCGCAGATGGAACTGGTACTGAAGGGCAGCGATAGCTGGCCGGCTCCTCCCATGAATCACCTCCTGTCTGCTCTTCCTTTAGGAGGTGTTACTGAAGCGGGCAGCGGACCTGGTGGAAGCCTTATACGGAATGCCCCACAACAACCAGGTAGGTGGAGGGCGGCTGCCCTTGCCCATCCTTCCCCCCATGCCAGAACCCGTGGGCAGCCGGCGTGGCTCCAGCGTGGGCGTTCTGGGCACGAGCATGCTTTTCCAGTGACTCCATGGGAGTCTGATGTGAGAAAGGCTTCCCATCCTTGCCCTCACACTAGGTTCAAGTAGAAAGGATGAGTTGGTGTCAGAACCCACAAGCAGAAAAACTTGTCACAGGGGAGAGCACAGCCTTGAAACCCATCTGTGGTGTGCAGTGGCGGGTGGATGGTGTACAGTGGCGGGTGGATGGTGTGCAGTGGCGGGTGGATGATGTGCAGTGGCGGGTGGATGGTGTGCAGTGGCGGGTGGACAGTGTTGGTGCCACTGGAAACCAGGGAGGGCTGGATGGGCGCCCCACAGCATTCAGGACAGAATTGAGCAAATGTTGCTCCCTTTCTTCTTCTTCTTCTTTTTTTTTTTTTTGAGACAGGATCTTGCTCTGTTGCCCAGGCTGGAGTGCAGTAGGGCAGTCTTGGTTTACTGCAACCTCCGCCTCCCAGGTTCAAGCGATTCTTCTGCCTTGGTCTCCTGAGTAGCTGGGATTACAGGCGTTTGCCAACACACTCGGCTAATTTTTATATTTTCATTAGAGGCCGGATTTTGCCATGTTGGCCAGGCTGGTCTTAAACTTCTGACCTCAGGTGATCCGCCTGCCTTGACCTCCCAAAGTGCTGGGATTACAGGTGTGAGCCACCGTGCCCAGCCAGATATTGCGCCCTTTCAAAAGCATCAGTAAATTATTTTCCTAGGGGAAGCTCTTTGCCTATTAAGAAATAGATTTGGTCATGGTCTGGGCAAGGGATAGTGGGATGCCACCGTCATGGGTCCCCAAGAGTGTGGCCAGCTGGGCCGGGCCTAGGATGATGGGCTGGCTCCCACTTGCTCCTGCTGCAGGAGATCATCTTGAAGCGAGCGGCGAACATCGCCGAGGCGCTGTACAGCGTTCCCCGCAATCACAACCAGATCCCCACCCTGGGCAACACCCCTGCGCACACGGGCATGATGGGCGTCAACTCCTTCAGCAGCCAGCTAGCCGTCAACGTGTCGGAGACGTCACAAGCCAACGACCAAGGTAGGCTGGCGCGCCAGGCGGACCCCTGCCCTGAACACCCTCCGCGGGTTGGTTGAGGCCTTAGCTGAAGAGGCACGTGTCCAGGGCCGGCTGGGGAATGTCCGTAGCGTTCCGTTCTCTCTGGCTCTGCTGGTTTCTTTGCTCAGGAAGACCTTGCTCTGCAGGTCCTCCCAGCCAGTGCTGGCCTAAGAACACTCAGAGAGAGCCCAGTTACTAAGAACGGCAGCTCCCCTGGCTGCCATGCGGGTCACTGGTATTTGCTAGAAGTTTCCCTCAATGTGTTCGTAAGTGACTTTGCTTTCCTTGGAAGACTGGACTAAGCCATAGGATAGCCATGGCCTAGGGAGCCGAGGAGAGCCTGCTTGGATGCACTGCACGGTGGGATTTGGGTCTAAGTTTGGAACGAATCCATGGAGAGAGACCCGCATTTCCACACCCCGCACCCCATCCCACAGTACAGTGACCTGGGCCGGCCAAGGCCGCTGCATCTTGCCGTTTGGGTCCATTTTAGTTTTCCTCCTTGCAGAGTGCGCAGGCAGTGATCTTAGAAAACAGCTCACCTGTACTGCTGATTTTGTTCCCATCCATCCACGCTCCCGTGGCAGGAATGAAGCTTCCATGTCCCCTGACTGCCCCCATGTATAGAAATAGAAACCATACAAATGAAGAACCCCAAACAGCCTTTCAGGGGAAGTTACGGCCACAAACAAGCTCTCCTTGTCAGTCATGGCATTTGAAGGTCTACAGAGGCCGAAAGTTCACAGAGCGTGGGGGGACAGACCAGGAATCCAAGCTTTGATAATTGCCTCTAAAGAGAAATGTGAAAGCCACTGACGGTGAGATCGAAGTGCGCCCCGGCTGGCTGTCGAAGCCGGCAGAGACAGGATGGGGCTCACGGTGAGACAGTGGCAGCAGGGTTGGCGTGATAAGGTCATCCGAGCTGGCAGCAGGCGTTAGAGCAGGTGGAAAGCACAGGGTCAATTAGCAATGTTAATAAATGATATAGATTCTCGGGGAACCCCCCCCCAAGTGTCTGTCGCTGATAATAATGTTATTTTTGGCCGGGGGGGGATTTCAACAGTCGGCTACAGTCGCAATACAAGCAGCGTGTCCCCGCGAGGCTACGTCCCCAGCAGTACTCCCCAGCAGTCCAATTACAACACAGTCAGCACTAGCATGAATGGATATGGAAGTGGCGCCATGGCCAATCTAGGGGTCCCTGGCTCGCCTGGATTTCTTAATGGCTCCTCCGCTAACTCTCCCTACGGCAGTAAGTGTCTGTTTTTGTCACACGTCATCACGCAGATTCATATTCACTACCGAGTTGAGTGTGTGCATTGCTTGGGTGTTCTGTGATGTGAGCTACTGGATAAAAGGAAGGGTGGCCCTGGAGGCTGGGCGTCCAAATGGCGACCATAAATTGACCCAAAACGGGCCCGATGTGACTCATTGGAAACCAAAACAAAATCCAAACAAAATGGGCTGCTCAATTGGAAGAGAAAGTCCAGTGCAAAAGAGCTTGCCTGTTATCCAGAGCGTGGCCGAGCCAGACGCATGTCATGTTTTGTTTTTGTGCCCCCGCCCCCCGTCCGAGGCGAGGCCTTTGGCGCCGTCTCGCCGTGGCACTGTGCCGCGGCCGCGCGTGCTGACCGTGTTTGCTTTGTTGCAGTAGTGCCGTCCAGCCCCACCATGGCAGCCTCTTCGGTCACCCTCCCTTCAAACTGTAGCAGCACACACGGCATTTTCTCATTCTCACCTGCCAATGTCATCTCCGCAGTGAAACAGAAGAGCGCCTTCGCGCCCGTGGTCCGGCCCCAAGCCTCCCCTCCTCCTTCCTGCACCAGCGCCAACGGGAACGGACTGCAAGGTGAGGGTGGTGCGGGGCCGGGGGCCAGTGTCGGGTCCTCTCCAGGGGTGGGGATGGGAGTGGGGGTGGGGGCTCGGCCTTTCTCCTGGCACCTCTGTGACCGCTGCATGTTCTCCCGTGGCCCACCTTGATGCGTGCCACCTCTGCCTGGTGTTCAGAGCAAGGACCCCTGTGCACTGAGCCCCAGAAAGGACCAGATTCCTCCTCTTGGATTTTGTCCAGTTCACCCTTCCGATGGCACCTAGTGTACTTTCGGTGGAACACCCTGTGCCCCTAAGGGGGTGGGACCACGTGAGAGAAGGCGGGAGTGCGGTGAAGGTCGCCATGGTCATTGTCAGTCTGATTCAGCCACTGGGCCTTTGCCCGGGGCCTGGCACTTCTCAGTGCAGGGTGGTTAGCGCTTGCAGCCTCCTATGCACAAAGCAGCAAAAATAGCCCTGGCATGGGGATGGCAGGGCACCATGCCGCCTGTGGATCCCATCTCAAAATCTGCCTACCCTCGTTGTCCCGAGGCTGGGCCTTGGTTCTCCACTTTATTTGCTGGACCATGCGTCCAGCAGGGCTGTGCTGTCTTTTGGAAAGGGATGTGCGTCTAGACCCAGGGCCAGGTGTGTACCAACACCAGGTTGCAGTCTGTCTGTGGACAGGAGCTGGTTTTCCCTATGTGCTCTCTCTCAAAGATTCAGGAGGGAGAAGGGCCGGCCCCGCGGGCACAGCGGTCCACAGATGAGGCCACATGGAGTGGGCACCTTATGTCTGCCCAGTGCCTGGCCCATCTGGACTGTGCAGGCTGCACGTGGCCTGCGATGTGTGTGACAGGCAGAGCCACATGGGTGCCCCCAGGCCTCATGAACTTGTGAGTGGCCCTTTGTGAGGTGCTGAGGCCCGCAGGCACTTAAATTAAGTGGCCGTCATCTGGCCTCTTTCAGACACCACCTTTGGTATATGCTCCTCCCAGTGACTCAAATCCAGTTACTCCTTTAGAAACATGAACCCATTCAACCAGTATTTACTGAGCACCTACTATGTACCAGGCTCTCTGCTGGGTGCTGAGGACGTAGCCGCGGAGAAGACAAACTGGCCCTTTTGTGAAGTCGGTGGCATATTTCACTTTGATGAACTAATGCTCAAAAAAGGAACTGGAAAGGTATCAGTGATTTGAAATCATTGTCTTCACAACATGCGTTAGCGTATGAAGGGACGCCCAGGCCCCCGAAGTGCCGCCGACTGGCCTGCGTGCCATCAGTGGGCACCGCACCAGGGTCGCTGCAGAGGCAGGTGGTGAGGTGCCGCGGCGCTGCCCGCAACATGGGGTCAGGCCGGCTGAAAGATGGCACCTCCTACGCGGTGTGTACATGCACAGGGCTTCCAAACCATAAAGTTGTAACGGTGAGTCGGAGATAAATTAATATCGTTGAAATTAATGAACTGAGAAATCGAAGCTCACGTGACTACATGAACAAATGTATTAATATGTTATACATCAATTAATGAGAACGATCATTCTGACAAAAATTAAACAACAGTCGCGGTAAAATATTTTAAATTACATTCGTACCAGGAGTTCACGTGAAAGCGTCAGCCCCGCTTGGCGTTTTCGTGCAAAGTTTTCTCTTCTTTCCTGAGAAGAGAGAAAAGGTCCTGACGGCGGTGCCATGACTCACATCTCTCCGTGGCCCTTGCCTGGAGGTTCCAGGGCAGGTGGGCTGTGAGTGGCTTTGATTCTGGAGAGCCCCTGACTCACCATTACGATACAGAGAGATGACCGCATGGTCAGAGCCCAGACCTGGAAGCAGAGGGGAAACTGAGGCCAGTCTGGGTCTCACATAGGGAGCGAGAGCAGGGCCTGTGAGCCGGCCTTGGCTGGCGTCATGGGAGTGACCAGGCTGGGTCGCCTCTCTCGGCAGAGGGGGTTCTGGGCCTCCGTTGGCTTTGTACCCTGCACTGGTCAGTGTGGGGAAGCTGCAGCCTCTGCACACAGCAGTGCCAGGAGCCCCTCCCTTTTCCAAAAGAAGCCTTTGAGGAGGGCTGCAGGAGGGGCAGGACCGGGGGATTTTTGTCCCCACGTGCGCCCCCACCTCAGGAAGCAGATTCCCCAGCACACCCTAACCACGCCCGAGGCTGGTGAATGGAATTGTGCAAGTCCAGCCTCCCAGTTGAATAGGGGGGAAGGGCAGCCCCGCCCGCATCTGCATTGGCAGGAGGGCGCATGCGGGGAGCCTACAGTAACTGCTCTGTCCTTCTGTCTTGCAGCTATGTCTGGGCTGGTAGTCCCGCCAATGTGAGGGACTCCTGTTCACCTTCCGCAGCACCCAGCATCAAAGGACGGACTTCAGGGGACACGTTTAGTATATTAAGACATGCTGATGGAAACAGTATCTTCAAAAATAGCAGCAGCAATTGAAATGCTACAAAAGACTTTGTTTAAAGATTTTATTTAAACTACTAAGAATCAACATGCAAACAGCCTCCTTCTTCATGAACAATTCCATTTTATTGACTGAACTTTTCTCATATTTTCACATTTCTCAGTCCTGAAGAATAAGGAAAACAAAGCGACGCCTATTTTGTATAAAGTTTCTGACTCCGTCTTGGCCATGTCTAGTAATTGCTATGTGTTGGGAGAAACTTTGTGAATGCACCATTTTGATGATCATGAAACGCTGATGAAAAATGCCTCCAAACATTTTTCTGTACTCATACTTAGATTCACAATGGTTGTGTATCTCTATAATGTGAAATATTTTTTTGTGGTGATAAAAAGGGGGCCAAGGAGGTATGAGCCATCAGACTGGAAAAAAGGATGACTATATGATTAGGAGAAACTGGGGTGGCAGGGAGGGAGGGAGGGTTTATCATTGCTTAACTTCATCTTAATGAAATGAAACTTTGTAACTTATTGTAGTTAGAAATTGTAACTTTGATATTGAATTCTCTTGCCTTCAACAAGCACACTGACAGAGAAAAACGCTACTGTCTGTTGGTTCCAATATTCTCCCACTGCTAGAGCTTCCTGTTAAGCAAGTGTGATCTGCAACATTTTTTCAACTTTTGCTAGCACTGTATACTATTGCATTCTTAGGCTACTGTGAGGTCTATGTTTCTTGTACCAGAAATTGTCCTTTTGACTTCTAGATCCTTCTTCCCTAATGTGTTTTGTATGTGGTTATAAAATTGTAGACTTTTGTGATTTTGCCAAAGTTGTAGCTAAATATTTATACACTTGTCTTGAATTTTTTTCAGATCCACTTAAAATATTTAGAAAAACAAGTTTTATTCCTTATGTGTCTTATAAGGAATAAAATGGTCTTCATTTGACACTTACTTTCCCATGAACACTTGCAGTTGCTAAGGGACTTTATTTTGTAACATATCAATTATAAATATTGTATTTATCTTTGAAATTTTGTACATTGCTTTTCCCGCCTTTTCCTTTTTCTTCTTTCTTGTCTGCGTTGGTTTTTGATCATGGCCTGGTGTTGTGATACTGGGAAGAGCATTAGCCAAGAACTTGTCTCTTTGATCTGTTTCGTTAAGATGAACCAGTGTCTTTACATTTCATTTGTACTTCAAAAATATGCTATTGTTTAGACTTTCCATCTTTTTTTTTATTTTGAGGAAAAGTCAAATTCATTGTTTATTTTTATATTATTTTTAAGTTATCTGAACAAATACTTTTGAAAAAAAAGTTAGTTGTATAGTCAAAACAAATCGGTGCCACCCGGCCGTGACAAATCCTACGAGAGTCTGTGCATGTGGAACGGCCGCGAAGAGGCGACACCATTTGGGGCTGTGTCCTTATTTTATTTTATTTTTTTGTAGAATGTAAAAAGTCATTTTAGATGCCACCCATGACTTTGCCACATAGCTGAACTGTGTTTACTGGAAAAATTCAGAGGCCTAAAGTTTAAAATAAAATTTACTTCTGATGTTTTAATTAAAATGTTTGCCACATTAACTTCTCTGATGCCTTAAAAGTGGACTTCTTTAAAGAACCTTTGTGCTATTTTATCACAGGCTTACACAACAATTGTTAATAAATACTTCATTTGGAGATTTATGGTGTAAAACACACAAACACACACACAAAAGCACAAGCCCGCTGCATGACCCGTCTCTCCTTTCTGGGACTATTTCTGCTGCAGCCTGTACCCTCCTGGGCCCACCTCCGAGTCACAGAGGTTTCAGGGGGACCCAAATCACTGCTGATTTTTAATTTTTTTTTTAACAATACATTTTTGTGGTCAGTTCCAACAGCACTGTCCGTACTTTTAAAACTGGAACGACCTCCTTCAGATATTGTGCCTCTTAGTGCCAAACCCACAGTGAGACCAAAAGTGTCAGGTTTTTTTTTTTCTTTCTCCTTTGCACTAAATGCTTTGCAGACACAGCACAGCACAAACATTTTGCAAATTGCAGCAGAAATTCAATTTAAAAAGGAGGGACTTTAAAATACCTTCTTGACAAAAATCAACAATGCACAACTTAGAAAGTGTTCATTCTAGGGACAAAATTAAATAAACAGAATGTCCCCAGGAGTCAGCAGGTCACAGTCTGGCTTTGTGACAGTTGACAAGGCCTAGCTACATGGGAAAGCCTGAGAAGTCACTTTGGAACTAAATTGCCTCCGTTTTATTTTGTACGAGTAAGGGTTTGATCTACAAAAGAGCGCACATGGACGCACTGAGAACGCCTGCCAGCTTCCCCATGCCCTCACTTGGTTTGTGTTTTAGGTTAAGTAGTCAACGCCCACATCACTTCACTGTCTCAAGACTGAGCACTTCACTAAATGGTAGATTTTACTGTTAAAGACCCTACAATAAGATTGTTTTATCTGTACATTTTTTCAGATATTTAACTGTATAAAAATGTTCATTTTACACAATATTTAATTAAAGTATTTCTTGTCTGTGAATTTCACTTTTGGTAATTCTGTTTTGATTATTAAAATGACTGACTAAACACACATAAAATTTACACCGGGGGTTTCATTTGCACATGCCGGGTTCTGAAGCTGCAACTTGGCCAAGATAAAAATGATCCATAGTAGAACTTTCCACAAAGTTATCCAGCCTCCGTCCTCTAACCTGCGTAGAGACAGAAGTTCAGCAAATTGTCACTTACGTGGTCCTGACCCCCAGAGGTACCATCTGTATGCATGCTGCACTCTGGGCGATGCTTCTGTGTCACACATGCTCTGTGGGCCACAGCAGTGCCAGAGTGACATAATCACTGTTCCAGCACTTGTCTTTGGGAACTCAAACAATCCCAAGGCTCACTGAGGGGCTTGATAACCCACTCCCTCCAGACCTTCTGCCCCAGCCCCTCTGCTTCTGAATAGTGCACTGGGCAGGTAGAGAATAACTGCTCCAGTGACCCCAGACACATGCTGCTTTTGGCTCCACAGTTGGGTTCCACTGGGCAAGAACCAGGCTTCGGAGAGAGAGCGCAGCAGCAAAGGCTCTGGATGGGTGTGCAAACACCAGGGCACCCAGATGACTGTGCTGCCTACGGTCTGCAAGAGGGGCATCACCGATTCCACTGCCACCACAGTGGCACAGCAGACCCCATGCACCAGCCCCGGGCGCTGCTGACTGCACACTGGTAGCCAAATGCACCAACTCTAATGAGATCTGCCTTCAACACTGAGGTTCTAATTTACACACCGACGTTCGGCTCCTCTGAGTTTCCCGTGCTCCCATTTCACTCAGTATTTTTTCATTTTCTCCTCCATGAAAGGCTGGGTTTGCATGTTTTGGCTTGCAGCTTTATAACACATACACATAAGTGTGATCCAAATTACTACTCACAAATGTCATCTTAATTACTTGTTCTGCTAAGCAAAACAGGAAACAATTATTCAAAACATAAAGAAACTTGTGAATACCTTTTTCTCCTGTCATTGACAATCAGGTTCTGTTTCAGACTTAAAGAGACAGCACAGAGAGAGGCTTATAAGGTACAAGCCTGAAGGCTGCCCGCTCCCCTCCCCTGCAGACTCCCTTCCAAGTGGCTGGAGGCTGGGGCTGGGGCTGGGACAAGCAGTTGCTGGGCAAGTCGCCTCCTTTGCACTCTGCACTGGTGCCACAAGTACCCAACGTCCTGTAACCAGGGGATGGAGAAATTATGTTTGTGTTTCAAATCAGAAGCAAGAACTGCCTTCTTTCAAAATGCACGCCAATTATTGTGAGGCCGCCTTTTAGGGTCTTTCAAGCTTTTAAAGATTATTCAAAGCACTTGAAATGGGCTTCAATCTAATGCCTCATTTCATTGCATTAAACAGCCTAGTTAATAAAGAATCAATATATTCAAAGGGCAAGGTTATCTTTTGTCTATAAGGGGTGGTGTCATTCTGAACCTTTTATAGTTCAAATGCTGAAAAAGACCTCATGAAATCCATACTCATCAAGTGGGTCAACGCGAGCGGTAAAGAGGCCCCTGAAAGGGAAGAAAGGCTGCCCTCCTCTAAAACAGCCCATGCTTATCTCACTTGCTCCGAGCGCCCAAAGAAGTCCTCAGAAATGTCAATTTCTCATCAAGACAAGAGGCCACGCTGATCATTTTTTCCAGAGAATACATACAATTAAGAGAATGCAGAGAGGCGGCGGTGGCAGTGATTTGTGGCTTATTCCGGCCCCATGAGCTGCGATCTCCCTCCCAGCAGATAAAAAGGGTTGTTGATAACTGAAGTGTCAATATGCCGAAGAGTGAGTTTTGAATGTGAGTCCTTGTGCTTTGAGCTCACTGGGCCGATCCCAGGCCCTGATAACGGCGCAGCTGCCAACGGACACCACAGGTTGGCCCTCACAATTAATGCCATGAATAAATCACACAAAAGAGTTGGGATGCTTTATACTCGGTGAGACAATCCCCTGTTTTACCCTTCAAGGATTCCTTTTATATTGGAATAAGGTTGCTTTTAATGAAATTTAAACTCATCAGAGGAAATCAAAAACCTCCAATCAGATTACAAATTGATTTTTTGGTCATTTGTCATGTCCCAGCGTAGAGCCGCAGGTTTCACAGGGAGCGAGTTGCCGTCGTGGCGGGGCTGGGAGTGAGCGTGGATGCAGCTCCTGCTCCCACCCCTGGCTTGGGACAACCCGTGGTCGGGCTCCTCAGTAAGTAGAGGCAGCCCTGGTGACTCCTCGTGCCCCACTGAGTGCAGCCGACTGAACCTGTGACAAGAACAGGTGCCAATCATGGCTAATTCAGTGGCAGCTTTATAACCTGGGATGTCGTCCTTGGTAAAATTCACAGTGACTTCTAGGTCTGCACTCACAGATCCACGGATGGCCACAGACACACGTTCTCTGGGGAGTGCCATCAGTTCTGGTGAGTCTCCACCCCCATCCCCACCCCTCCAGTTGGCTCTACACTACCCCACAGACAGCATGATACAGAAGCATGCGGGTCTCCCAGTCCCCATGTGCCAAGACCTTGAGATCTGGGCAGAGAAAATCTTGGCTAACTCCTAGCCAGCATCCAGTGGAAGCCCCAGTGCTCTCCTCAGCAGAGCCTGCCCTGCCCCCCAGGCCACTCCAGGGTGGTGTCCCCCTGGGGAAGACTCGAAAGCATCGGAGGCCGCCAGCCTCCAGCCTCCCAGTGGGTCTCCTGAGTGCCCTGGATGAAACTGCACCTTCCTTACCCCTGCAAGGGGGCACCTAGTCAAAGCTGAGGGGGGAAGCTGAGGTCCCACTGAGTCTCTGGTACTTAGTGGGAATCTAGAAGGGCCTTTTGTCCCTCCTGGAAAGACTGGGGCCGGGACAAAGTGAGGGCAGGCACTACTTTGGGAGGAGGCGAACACTGTTTCTGATTGAAGATTCCTCAGAGAACATCTGTTAAATACAGTCTCCAAAGTGAGTCAAATACTCCACACATCTAACAGCAACACTCACCTTTGCCGCCCCCGGTGATCTGCGGAGCACTTTATCCACACCGTCTCTTTTGTCCTCCCACAAAGTGCTGTGCTGGAGCTGGCTCCCCACTTCCAGGTGGTGACACTGCAGTTCAGAAAGTTCAGATGATGGTCACTAGGCTGAAACGACCAGGGCCCGAGGCCAGGTGACGTCTCCAATCTTCAAACCCTACCCTCTCTCCACTGACTTAGGTTTCAGGTATCTTCAGTAAGAAAGACTGGCTGGGCACGGTGGCTCACGCCTGTAATCCCAGCACTTTGGGAGGCCAAGACAGGCGGATCACTTGAGGTCAGGAGTTCAAGACCAGCCTGGCCAACATGGTGAAAGCCCGTCTCTACTAAAATTACAAAAAACTTAGCCGGGTATGGTGGTGGGCACCTGTGATCCCAGCTACTTGAGAGGCCGAGGCAGGAGAATGGCTTGAACCCGGGAGGTGGAGGTTGCACTGAGCTGAGACTGTGCCATTGCACTCCAGCCTGGGCACCAAGAGTGAGACTCTGTCTCAAAATAAATAAATAAATAAAAAATAAAAAAAAAAAGAAAGAGAGAGAAGGAGGAGTATCTAAATGGAAGTGAGGAGAGAAGTCACACTTCCCTGAGAAGATCCTAACCAAGCCACCCACAGGGTTTGGAGAGCCTGACTCAGTCGAGGCCACCTGTACAGGCCACAGGTGGAAACTGGCTTGCCCAGTGCAGCTCAGTTGGGGGTCAGAGGGCCCTGCCTCAGAACATAACCAATGTCACACTTCTATGCTCCCAAAACCGGAGGCAAAAGACCATTTCTCCCAGGGACTTTGAAGCTGCCATGAGGCCTCGGAACCGCTGGCTCCCTGTGCTCTCCATGGGTTTCCTGGGGTCCTCATGGGGTCCACATGGGGTCCACACATGGGGCTGGTGAGCCAGTGTGAGAAGGGTACACTGAGCCCATCCCATGGTGCAAGAGTGGGAGGGAGATGCAGGTTAGGACTGAGGCAGCCAGAGGGGCTGGGCTGCAAGGGGTTAGGCCTGCAGCTGGTACCCAGCAAGGGCTCAACAAAAGTCAGCTTCTGTGACTGCCAGCAAGGTAATAATGGGCTAAGGATGGAGTGAAGAAGAGGAAAATAAGAGCAATCATGATTTGGAGGGTAGACTTGCGATGAGTAACAACAATATCAAAAGTGTTGGCTGAAAAAGACACAAAGGGTCAGAAGGGGACACAGGTGTCTCTCACCAGACTGCCCCATCAGACCATCCCCTCTCCCAACACTCCACATTGATGGTGGGCCATGGACAACGACGGTGTTGGTGCAGCTTGCTAAGCCATCACAGGGTTCATTAGCTAAGCTAGATATAAAACTTGTTTTTCCACCTATAAGGGACCAGATCCTTCACTGCCTGTGCTACTATTGTGGGGCTGGCAGAACACAGGGCTGATACAGGGAAGTTGCCATCAGGAGAGAGAGAAAAGATGCCTGTAACCATCTCAACAGAGGGTTTATATTCTTAATATACAATGAGCTTTTGCAAATCAATAAGACTCAGTGGAAACCCTAAAGAGAAAAGAGGCAAATTTACACTCCATTCACAAGGGCACAATAAAAGTGATCAATAAGCTTAGGAAATTATATTCAACCTCATTTAAAAATACATATCAAATTAAAATAATGAGATGAATTTTTTTAACCTATTAAATTAGAAAAGATTTTTCTTGAAAGCTAATACACAATGCTGTTGATGGAGGAAGGGTATTCTTACAGTAGTCAGTAGAAGGGTAAATTGGTACAAGCCTTCTGGAAATCATTCTGACATATCAAGAGACTTAAAAATATTCATATCCTTTTTACTGACTAATTCCACTCCAAGGAATCAATCTGAAAGAAATAATCAGATATTAGACAAGACTTTTAAGTCCAAAATTGTTAGCTATGGCAATATTTATCAAAAAATTGGAAAGAACCCAAATGGCTCAAAATAGAAATTGGTCATTAAATTATGATATAGCCATTATAATGGAATATTATATATTCTATTAAAACATAAAGATTATGTTTTTGAAGTATATCTA